TTTCTCTTAAACCCTCGCCTCCAAATTCTCAAATCTCAAAAGAAACCAATATAATCAGGCATTATGTAGCATCATGTTTTAAAATCAATATAAAATAAAGCAGCACAGTTTTGGCCTAAAATGACAACAATAGTATTTGAATTAATAAAACAATGAATCTGTAATTCAATATTATCGAACAAAAATGTAAATTGATTAGTACTTAAAAATGTATTTTTATCAATGTTTATATCATGATTTTACACTTAAAGTATTAATAACTCCTTAACTAGAGTATGTTTTATAATTTCATGTCTAATATTATAAGATACATTTAACTTATGGTAAATATTCATGTTAAATGCAGGCCTATCACATAAATAAAAGGATTAATTGATGAGTTTAACTTCTAAAATTTAAAAGACAAGAAGAGGGCCAAACTTAAAAAAGAAATTCTAGTTCAATCCAAACTAGAATACTGTTTAGTCATTAGATCATAATTAGAGCTGTAAAACTTGGATTTAGGTGTGCTTTATATGGATTGAAAGCTAAAACATAGGCCTAAAACTTTCACTGGAGTCTAAGATTCAAAAACGTCATTTTTAATTTTAAAATATAGCAACAACAGAGAAGTCTGAAATTATATTTAGTTAAGTTTATTATGTCAAGGTGAAAAGGTTACACTAATGATATAAGAATAAATATAATATAAACTCAATATGAACCTTAATGTTTGATACTAACATATTTTGTATTTGTTATCTTGTTCACTTTTAATACTTTACTTGTTAAATGGTTAATCTAAATTTATATTATATAACCCTAAGTATAACAAATACTTGGCACTTTTATAGTCCAACTGTATGATATAACCGACACTTGTGCTATGAAAGGAACTTGATTTGTTGTTAACATAAGTTATAATCATGAATACCTGACAACATGTATAAGTATTAACATTATTCGAATAAGATAACTAATATAATCATGTTAACAATTTATAATCTGATTGTAACATTTTTTGTGTGTGGTTTCCAGTTGCGTGATAAAAAGAGTCTATACTATACTTATTTAAAATACCATTAGTGGATCCTTTAACCTTGTTAATTATTCTATCCTTGTTTAATCCTTACATTAATATCACATCTCAAAGCTCTCTTAAACTCCTTTTCTGTTATTAATTCTTTTTTATTTATAGTTTATACAATTAACCTCCATGTGATTCGATCCTAGTTTTTCTGGGCTATTTATTACTTTGACACTCCTACACTTGAGACTAAACATCAATCTTTTAGTCATGTCATAATTTTTTTTTAAATACAGATGGATAATAAACCTAATTCACAACACCCAATTTTTTTTTAATATCAGCATCTATACAAGAAATTATTGTGCTTGGTTAACAATCCTCATAGAGTGATATATTCAGAATATTGTAGCCCATAACAATACACAACACCTAACTATTAATTCATGTATTATTAAAAACAAAGAATTACTTAAATATTTGTAAAAACATAAACATATACTCTCTAATGTAACACCATTTTTTTTTCCAAATAATTTCTCAAGGTCTCCTTGTTCTTTTGCCTCTATCATGAACTCAAATTTACAATTAAATTCATCAACAATAAATACAATATTGTGAGAAGCAATACACAAGAAAATGGACTTCAATTCTTTTTTTTTTTTCCTGCATCTACAAAACAAGGTGATTTCATTAAATATCATTTGAAACTTTTGGTGTTGTTTGTGAAGATGGAAGGCACAACGGATATACAAAACTATTGACAGTGAAAAAATAAAACAAATAAAAAAATGCTTTTTTATTAATTAAATCTACAAGATTAGGAGCTTGGAAAGGCGTATTGGGTAGAAAAATAGAAGGGAAAATTAGTTTTGACAGTAGATTGAAGAATAGTTATAATAAAGTGTGTTTGTGATCTTAAATTTTTTTAATGAGAGAAAGAAGGGATCTGCTAGGTGAGAAGAAACGATTGCATTTTTTCTAGTGATTAATTGGTGTCGTTTGAATCATTCTAGCTGGGAGAGTTTGATATTCTACAACAACCTTTTTTTTTCTTTGGGATCTGTCAATGGATGAATAAAAATGAGGTTGCTACTAGTGCTAAGATGCCTTTTCTAACTTTTCTTAAACCACAGGTTCAGCCAGAAGCGTTGATAGGTCCTACCAAAATAAAACCGTGTTTGAAACATAACCAAACACAAAAACATGTGGTTTGCTTTACCCTCGGGTGCAACCGCATTACCATATGACACCTTAGTATTTAGATATTTTTAAACTTTTGTTTATGTGTAATTATCTTCCAAATAATATTTTATGAAAAAACTTTTGTTTATGTGTAATTATCTTCCAAACAATATTTTATGAAAAATTCATTAAAAAATTATTTTTAAATTTTTTTAAATTGTTATGATTTGTTGATGCTAAAAATAGTTTTTAAAAATAAAAAATATAATTTTAATATATCTCTAAATAAAAATCATTTAAAAATAACATTTAATATATTTATAAACACCCTTTTAATAAACATTGTGGATAACGTTTGGTAAAAAGGATCCTAAGAGCATTTTCAATGTCATTTTCAAAAACTGAATTAAGAAAATAGTATTTTAAATAATATAAATATAATTTTTTATATTATGTATACTCTAATGAAAAAAAACTTTTGAAAAGTTAATTGTATTGAAGTGAGAGAAAGAAATATTTTTTTAATGAATTTTATGTTATTTTTATATATATATATAGCTATATTTAATTAATTTATTTTTTATTGGTTCCACTTTGTTAATTTTGATTTTTTTAAGAGATATGTAAAAATAATATTTTTTAAAAAAATAAAATAAACATGAAAAAATTAAAATAATATTTTTTTTACTTTAAACTTTTCATTTAGTACACCTGAATTGCTTTAGATACTGTTTGGCACTGTGTTTTGAAAACATTTTTAAAAAATTTGAATTTTTTTTTTACTCTGAATTAATATGTTTTTAATGTTTTCAAATTATTTTGATGTGCTGATTTTAAAAATAATTTTTAAAATATAAAAAAATATTATTGACACACTTTTCTGAATGAAAATCATTTTAAAAAGCAACAGTAACCACATTCCCAAACATGCTTAGAGTTGCTAGTCAACACATCCACCTACAAATAAGTCATTCTTTCACCTTGCTTAGGTGATGAAATTCCTTTTACTTGTTGACGCTAAATATAATTACTTATATGATATAACATCATAGTTAAAACTTCAAATTACATCATAATAATAATGTTCATTGCTCCTAATTGTTCATTCCATCTACAAGCTACATGCATGTAATTCATTAGTGAAAACATAATTGCGTTTGCTGTTAAAGCAAACCACAAAAAAATCGGTGTTGGGTAATAAGGGGAACATATATTACCATTCATGCATCCCATTATTAATTATTTTTAAAATGTTGGGCTGTTAAAAGCAGTTCAATGTTACTTTCCTTTTCTTTTAATGGAGTAAAGTGTGAATTATAATTTGTTTTTTACTGTTCATTTGTGTAAATAATGTTTTTTTATTCTTCATATGATTAATAGAGTCATTCTCTACTATTTTAGTCGGATTAGATCCTATCTAAAATTAAATACATCGAATTGATTTGGCCTAGTAAAATAAATTTTATTTTTTATTTTTGTAATTGTGCTTTATTTGAAAAATTAGTGTTTATCAGTTTGATCCAAAGCTAAATGCATTGAATCAAGTCTGACCCAATAAAATAAAAATATAAATTTTATATTTTTTTAATTGTATTTTATTCAAAAAATCAGTATTTAACATTATAAAGTATCACTGCATAAATTAAACGAAAATTGTTTGATAACGTAATATTTACAGAATTTGATTGCAATTTCAATTTTATTTTTAATTATATTTTACCTTATATTGTTGCCCGCTTAAAAAACCAATAAAACTGTAATCATTGTCGGATATATTTCATATGTGACAAAATTATAAATAGTTTAATGGTATAATAAAAATTATTTTATATAAAATATTATTTATTTTATGACGTAACAATAGTAGTTACATCTATAGTATTTAAATTAAAAACTATTAATATTAATATGTATTTTTTTGAAATTATTTTATAATTTCAATTTGAAAAATATTTTTAACCAAACACATTAAACTACCTTCTGTTTAACCTTAATTTCAACCATTATTTTAACCAAACATATATAGATCCCAAACCAACCTCAATTAAAAATACTTTTTATAAAATATTTTTTTTCAAATCACAATCATAAAAGTTACCACGATATCAAACATACTATAAAATTACATGTTTCTAATTTTGAATGGAAATTATCATATATACAAGTCATTTTAATCTCATAATTAAATGTACCTTTGAATATGGTTATATATATTAAAAAGTAAGGAAAAATCAAATGATTTATATTAAAATAATAAAATTCATGATAAATTAAATTTTCTTACCTTACTCAAAAATCAAGACAGGATAAATAAAATAAAAATATATATTTTTTAATATCTCTATAGTTTTTTTTCTTATAACTAACTAGTCTCTATTTTCTTAAACTACTAATAAATTAATCCTTTTAACTCATTTCACTTTTCCACTTTACTTTTTAAGAAATAAAAAAATAGAAAACATGAAAAAATTGATGAGAAAAAAGATATTTTTAAAGTAAAAAAAATATTCATTTATCTATAAATTAACCTTTCAAGTTTGTACTAATGTACAAATTATCAATCTTTTCCATATTCAAGAAAAGAAATGTTTTATTTATTTATTTAGATAATGTTTGTTTTTACCTTTTAAAATGATTTTTATAAAAATTTAAATTTATTTATTTATTTAAAATTAATATTTTAGATTATGCTCTAATATTAAAAATAATTTTTAAAAATAATTGTAGTTATATTTTTAATTATTTTTTAAAAATAAAAAAAACGTGTCAGCCAGACAAAGAGCGTACCAAAAGTTAACATAAACCAGAGACTTGTATGCGTAGCAGAAGGCTGGCAAAGCATACGACGAATATCACTCGGTTTTCCTTTCTTCCTCCTCGTCTCCAGTTGCATAGACTCATAAGCAAGTCCTGTTGTATGCTCTCATCCCTTCTCCTCTCCTCTCCTCTTCACCATTTAAATCTTCCTCTCTAATCTGTTTGTCATTGACTGTTTAACTTAATAATCTTAATCTCATGAAATATTGACAAATGGTGATGAGGTGGAGAAAAGAGAAATAATAGAAAGTACAGATTCAAAGGTAAAAGGATAGTAACAATAATAAAGAAAGAACCAAAACTGATTCCAAAAAACGGAAATGCGAATACTTTGTGATGTGTGTGAGAGCGCAGCTGCGATTCTTTTCTGTGCAGCTGACGAAGCCGCGCTTTGCCGCTCCTGCGACGAGAAGGTAAATCAATCACTTTCTCCTTTTTCCATTTTTTTCTGTTAATTGTGTTTATTTCTTTTTTTGAGAATTATATTAATTGTATTGATTAAGTGAACAATTTAAGCGCTAAGGTAATAATATAGCTCTGTATGTGATAAATCGAGACGGGCTTCATTGGATTGGTAAAAAAAATATTTGTTTTCTTTTCTTTCTTTGATATTAGAAGTGTGAAAATTGTTATTTCCTTGTTAAGCCTATGAAGCGACGATCTTTTATTGTGAAATATCAAGCTTGATAGGTTTTTTTATGATGGTTCCAGTATTGGTCTTTTTAAGTAAGCATGATCGAATTTGTCATGTTTAAGCTAATGGGTTTCTGTTTTTTTGTGCTGGAATTGCAGGTTCATATGTGTAACAAGCTAGCTAGCCGGCATGTACGAGTAGGACTTGCAGATCCTAGTGATGTTCCACGGTGTGACATATGTGAAAAGGCACCAGGTATGCAGGCCTGTCTTTGCTGACAATTTTTTTTTTCACGGGACATGAATTTTTGAAGTTTTTTATTCTTCCCTTGGCTTGAAATGTATATGTAGCTTTCTTTTACTGCGAGATAGATGGCAGTTCGCTCTGCTTGCAATGTGATATGATAGTGCATGTTGGTGGTAAAAGAACCCATGGGAGATATCTCCTGTTGAGGCAGAGAGTTGAGGTTTGTCTCTCGGGATTGAAGTGTTTTGATTTCTGTATCAAATACGTAAGAAGCTTTCTGAATTAACACGCTTTGTTTGATTGTCTTATTTAGTTTCCAGGGGATAAACCTGGCTGTACAGAGGAACAAGGACAACAACCGCTTGATGATTATGAAACAAGAAGGGACCAAAATCAGCCGCCTAAGCTCACAGCTAGAGAAAATCAACAGAACCACAGGGCCTCTCCAGTTCCAACGGTAGAGAATAACACTGATAGTGACGGGAAAATGGACAACAAATTGATTGATCTTAATGCCAGGCCTCAGCGGGTACATGGGAAAAATTCAACTGACCAGGTATTGACTTTTCCAACACTAATCATGCTTTCTATTTACAGGTTGATATTTCTTTAAACCACGTGCACATGCATGTTAAGATTGCAATTTTTTATGCTTTAATTTTAACCTCAGCAAAATTGTGTCCGTCTTCTGTTTAGGAAAATCATGAATCCTCTAGTTTGGCTCCTTTTGGATTCTTTAAAGGGGAGCCACAAAAGTAAGCAAGGTATGATCTGCATTTAGTAAGCCTAACTCATGTGTTTTCTTTTCTCCATTTATTGTTTCATAAAGTTGACATTATGGATGGTTATGCGGGAAGCTTCAAGTTTCCATTGAAGTCGATTTTCTTAAACCAGCTCTTGGATGACTTCTACATGCAAGAATGCATAGGACTCTAAATTCCGCTGCTTGTACGATGGTGAATGTAATCTTCTTTTATTCAAACTGTGGTTTAGATATGTAGCTATATGGATCTGAAATGAAGATGAACAAATATTGTTATGGCCTTTTACCGTGTTCCATGTTTGTAAGGGCATAACTAACTGTGGTTTAAATATGTAGCTATATGGATCCTCAAAAGAACAAAAAAGGTGCATCTGTTATTGAGATGGAGCCTAGCTGAAATTTACTTTAATATTTTGGTTTTCAAATGTTGCTTTAGCTGCTAACTACGAGATACCATTTGAGGGCATGTCAATCCTAATGTACACTAAGCGGCTATACATGCAAATCCACAGTTATTTGAGGGGGCATTCTTCTTGTTGCATGATCAACTGTTTGAAATAGCAGGTGAAAACAGTGGAACGAAGAGGTTAAGGTAGCTGTTCCATTAGAGCCATCTATCACGTTTGCCATCAGGCTCCATCTTTGTTTTTGACCAATTGTAATCGGGAGGATAACATAGAAGCGCTAAATCTTTGAAAAAGAACAGCTTCGCCCAAAAATGTCTTCTCATACTGGGCAGATAAGTTAGCTGCTTTGCTGATAACCATAAATTATGTCAGATTTCAGAAGGATGCTTGTAATTGAACAGGAAAATTCTCTAGTGGGCACAGTTGTGATGTTTTGATGGCCGGTTGTCAAGTCAAAACTTAGTGCTCTTCACGCCACACATTATTAAAGGATTAATTGCATTTTACTGGCTATTGATGGACGTGCCAGCATTTCACATTTTCAATGATGGAGCGGGCATATCTTTTTGGTTGGGGGCTCTCATTGATACGCTCGGACATACTGAGTATGGCCATGTAGTTTGGCCTTGTTGACTTGCAGATTGGGCCATGCAGTGTGTGGTTGGTACTTATTTGCTGATCACAGTTACGGGTATTGCGGGCGGAACTTGAAAATCATGGAATTTTCATGTTTCTTTTACCCTTGTGCATTTGTTCATAGTGAGGATAGGTCTCAAGCCAGGCCATGTGCAGCTAGTGCTTTCAGAAAGGGACATCCAGGTTTTTCCTTTAATTTAAGTGGTTATTTTGCAAATGTTTGTCATTCACGTGTCTCAGTTTCTAGATATCCCCAACCTACAGAACAAGTGTTGTTCCATTTGTCCTAATAAACATAGACATACATTCGTTGCCTTGTTTTTTTGTCAGATTCAGGTGCTGCAAATGCTAGGTAGTCTATCTACTGTTTAGCAGGAACGGTTGACCGATGCCTATAAGCCTTCGGAGACTGGACTGGAGTGGCTTTACTTTGTTCGCCAGATTCTGTAAATTATGGCATATAGAAGTTGCAGTTGAAACCCAGAGGGACCTTATATTCTTATTTGTGGAATAGCAGAATGCTACCTGATATGAGAGCCAAGGCAGATGGACTATTGCATTATCAAGACCTTTATTTTTCCATTTGATTTTCAAGATGATTTGATCCAAGTGATTGCAAGCCAAATCTTTTAAAGTGATCACAAGTAAGTCTGATGGATTATGCTAGTTTTGAAGGGAGCTTAAGCAGGCTGTCAGTCTAGAGAGGCCATAGAAGTGTAGGGAAATGGTGTTTAGCCATCACTGGATGCTTTGCCTAAATTAGATGCGGTGAGAGATTGCGTTGCAGATCAAGTCTTTAAATTTGGAAATGAGTTGCCATCTTCTACATGCCTGCCGTAGTTCTAGAATGTCCATCTCTGTTTTAACCGTTGTCAAATTAGCGAGGACGGAATTGCATTGGTTGTCCAAAATGAAAGCAAGTTTATTCTCGTTCTTGATTTTCTCTGGATTTTGAGAATTTATTAAACTATTTTGAATGCATTGCATCTACGTAGAGGTCACAGAACTTTGTAATTGCACAAACTTTCTTGAGGACTCTCTTTGCTATCACATGAGAAAAAAATATAATCATTGTTGATATGAATACAAGTTCTTTTGCATAAAAATACAGGCCAATGAATGATTGTGCTTATTAATTAATCTCCCAATTGATTGTTTTTTTTTTGAAAAATCATTATGGAAAAGATTATCAGCAAGTATCTATAATGAAAACTTTAAACTATAATTTTTTCTTTGAAAAAAAATGACCATTAAATATCCTTAAATGATTTTGAAAAAGAAAAAAATGTCATCAAAACATATTTCAAATGTAATTTGGACTCATGGCAATGAGTTGCAGGGATAAAAAATAATAATTCTATCGACTTAACCAGAAACCTGATGTCTCGTCTTCAAAGTCTTTTATCTCCAGAGTCTCCATAATTTCATTCTCTCATGTCTAGTATCCCAAGCTGCTATGTTCCTGTTGGATTTTGGTGGGGCAGCTCCAAATTCTTTTTCATTTGTCTTTTCTTTTCCGCGGTTTCTTGTCACGGCTCAAATCAGCTGAGAAGGGAAAGGGAATTATTACAGGAGATGGAGAATGCAGATGGAAGACTTCAAGATTTAAAACGGTGGAAACGAGGTTAAAATCTGTATTTTAAAAAAATTTTAATTTTTTTTATTATTTAAAATTAATATTTTTTAATCATTTTAATTCACTAATATTAAAAATACTTTTTAATAATTAAAAAAATTCATTTTATTAACTAATATTTTAAATGGTGTGGAAAAAATACTGTAGTTTTTCCATGCCACATGTTTTTTTTGTTTTTTTTTAAATATATTTTTTAGGTTTTACATGTTTTTTTTAAAGATTGTCTTTATCTTCTTCTTTTTTATTTTTATATTTTTAAAATTATTTTTGCTTATTTTTTTAATATTGAATTAGTTAAAAATTTAGTTATGCAATTTTTTCTTTAAAACATTATGAATCACTATATTATTTTTCTATATGATTTTTTTTTTTTTTGCAAAATAATCTTTGTTGATTTTATTTTTTTCATATCGAGCTTATTGGAAAATTTACTTCTCTTTGTTGATTTTATTTTTTTCATATCGAACTGATTGGGAAATTTGCTTTGTAATGTTTTTCTTTAAAACATTGTAGATTATTACAATGTTTCCTTACATGATTTTTGTTTTGCTACAATGTTTCCCTACATGTTTTTTTCAAATTATCTTTGTTAATTTTATTTTTTTAATATTTAGCTGATTGAGAATTCAACTTTAACTTTCTTCACATTTTTTTTTTTGCTTCTTTTTTCAAAAATTATCTTTTTCTTTTTTTCTTTTTTGTGTTTTTTTAAGAATTGTTTTTATTGATTTTTTTTTAATATGGAGGTGGTTGAAAATTTAGTTCTATAATTTTTTTTTCTTGAAAACACTATGGATTACTACAATATTTTTCCACATTGCTTTTTTTTCCTTTTTTATGATTTTTTTATTTTTTCAGAGTTGTTTTTTTTTTATTTTTTATTTTTTATATTGAACTGATTAAGAATTCAATTTTGTAGTTAAAATAGTATGGATTACTACAATGTTCCTCCACATGATTTTTTTGTTATGATTTTTTCTAAAATTATCTTTATCAATTTTATTATTTTTAATATTGAGCTGGTTGAGAATTACAACTGTAAATTTTCTCATGAAACACTATAAATTGCTATAGTGTTTCCCTACATTGTTTTTTTTTATTTTTTTTTCATATTGGGCTAATTGAAAATTTAACTTCATAGTTTTTTCTTTAAAACACTATGAATTGCTACAATATTTTTTCATATGATTGCTATAATATTTTTTTATATGTTTTTTATGATTTTTTTAAAAAATATTTTTGTTTATTTTATTTTTTAAATATTAAACTAATTAAAATTTTAACTTTATAATTTTTTTCTTAAAAATATTATGAATTATAACAATTTTGTTTATATAATATTTTAGCAAACCCACATTAACGCACAAACATACCATAAGCTGCGGCATCACGCCGGCATGGTATCTACTATACTTCTAAACATTGTATGAAACGCTACGTTTCATTTGTCCTCCAATGCACACCGTTTCAATTAATTACTTCCCTTACTCTACGCTGCGTTTTGATTTAGCTAAGGTCTCTCTATCTTTCAGAAAAGGGTGCTGTATTTAACCTGATGCTGTATCAGAATGAATATTATGATGATGACAATGAAAGAATTACAAGGAGGTGGTTTGCTCATCACACCTCTTGTCCTTCCAGAATCTCTCTGTTAACTAGTTAGCCTGTTTGTATGTAGCTCCTCCTAGTTTGGAACGTTAATGCATCAAACTGAAGCATATTAAATATTAAAATAAACACATAGTTTAGTGGGCCGAAATCTGTTGGGCTCCCTGGATCGAAGAACCTTAAGGATACTGTGGCTTACCGTAATAGAAACTACTTTTTTATCTGCCGCATAGACTTGTTGTCCCCAATAATTACCAATAAAAAAAAAAAGATGATTAATTCCTCACTTTATAAGTTGAAAGTAACAAACTATGTTTAAGATGCGTGCATCTTCAAAGACTGCAGGGACACGGGGGAATGCACTTCCACTCTAACTAAGACATGTTCTAAAATTACGAACTTGAAAGACAAAATGGGTTGAAAAGGTGCCTGCCCTTCTTGTTTAGAGGCAGAGGACTTTGAGAATCTTGTAGAAATTGTTTTTTAAATTATTCTTTATTTAAAAATATTATTAAAATAATAATTTTTATTATTTTTAATATTAACATATCAAAACAATAAAAGAAACATAAAAAAAAAATTAATTTGAAGTAACTAAAAAATTAAAAAAACACGTGCAATGCTACTGTCGTCTGAAGGCGTCACAATTGCTGTAACTCACAAATTACAGTGCCTCGGGATTGGTGAAGAGTGCTTAATTATATATCGTTTCTAACCTTAAATTTCCTTTTAACATTTTTTCATGTTAGTTACATGAATGTATAACTCTTAATTTTTTGTCTTTGCATTTGTAATTGCATTTAGATGTATTTTAATACTACATTTTTAATACCACACAGACAGCAATGCCAAACACATACTAAAGGTTATCATGAAGGGCCCCGGGCGTAGATACCATTCAATTTTAACTTACGCGTATGATCACAAAAATCACATTTGTGCAAGTTTAGCTAGTATGACCATGTCTAATATCTTAACATCAAGAGTGTCCTCCAACTTTACAATTCCATCAGTGCCATCCACACCAATTAACTTGCCAGTAACACCACGATGTGCACCGCCCAAGATCTTGATCTTGTCTGATTTCCTTGGCACTACTATCTCAATTTCACTAGGAAGTGCAGTTATTGTCTTGCCGTGGCCATTCGCCCCAAGGGCAATTTTACAAGAGCCATCCTGGTCCCAAGAACACCAGCATTAGCATAGCAGCTGCATGAATCAATTCAGACAAAAATTCTACTCTGTTCCCTCTTCCCTCTTACTAATGACAATTCTACTTTGTATTCCTTCCATATAAACTGGTGCAACTTCATAAAAAAAATAATTAAGGAACTTGCCGTGGATTTCAAACATCCAGTTAATAGTTATCAGCAGAGAGATGCATATGAAAACTTTTCCCATATTGCTTTGGAAAGACATACCTGAAGCACCTCCTTGATGACACCAACAGTCGGTTCATCTGTGGTCCTGTGTACGTTCACCAATATGTCGGGTATGAACCATGGTCCTTCACCATCTCCACCTGTAACGAATGGTTTTTAATACCAAGCCTAGATATTGTAAAGATGACAATAGGCATGACAGCACAAAGATTTTGTAGAAAGCTGATCAAACTCCATGCATCGTATCTAGTTAAATGTTCTGCTCATTCAGAGAAGCTTCACCATGAAGATTAAATTCTAGCTTCTAATCACACCACTGAAAAACAGAAGGAACAGAAAAGAAAATACATGAAGCACCAATTCATTTTCTGGAATTGAAAAGGGGCAAACAATACATGTACTCCTGAAATATCTGTTTCACGAAGAAAACAGAAGTAATTTTCTTCTTTTAATATCTCCCAGCCTCACCATACAAACACTTGATTCAATGTGAAAACTGGATTCACATAATCACATGACACATACAAACCAAAAACTGAACCTTGAAAAAGGACACACTAGATATATTTTATTTTATATAAACTAATAAATATCAGCAGGTCCAACACATTAAGTATGAATAATGGCAAAATAAGAAAGTGCAGAACAAACCTATAACAGGAGACATCATATCAAGACCATTAGTTCCAGGTGTCATTAGTTGCCCTCCAGGTGTGCCAGGGAGGTAGGATGCTGAGCCAGGTGTCATAGGCTGACCGCCAGGAGTTGATGGCAGGTATGGGCTTGGAGCATTGGCTATAAGAGGTGCACAAAGTTACCTACATAATCAAATAAACACTGAAAGTATCATGTGAAACTGAAAGAGAAACTACCATAGGCAGAACTGCTATCTCTTGGCGTTCCAGCTTCACTATAATTACCACCAGGAGTGCTAGCCCAGCCTGAACCAGGAGTTGGAGCTTCATATGTTCCAGAGGGAGGGCTTCCTGGCTGGAAAAAGAACAATTTCTTTATTATAACATAGAATAACTTGTACTATTTATAGGGTCAAAGTATACAAGTTCTTCACCTGATACCGCGGACTGGTTCCCCAAGACCCAGGATTCCCATCTTCCCAATTATCCCTGCATTTTTGTGGATACAATTCCAATGACCATTTATCAGTTACAATGCACAAAAGTGACATAGTCAAAAGTTCATTATATTTGTCAGATGATACTTTCATTAAACTTACATCAGAGTGTCAAAATACAGGAAATGCAGTACACTTTTCATTTTAGTATCAGATATACCAGAAAACAGGATTATGCAATGCCAAACATATGTTCTAATTTGGCAATGTTGGTTATAAAAAA